CAACATACCATTTGTAAACTGTCTAATAGCGTCGAAAATCGAAAGCTGAATTTAGTTTTAGAGCGTAAAGGAACTGAATAATGTATTAACCAACTAGCATTTGTAATACTTATATCTGATAAAACATCATCTGTACATATGAAAATTGGGTAAGAACCATTTACATAAGCATTCCAATACTGTTTAATACCTATAGTAAAACAGAAAATGTTATATATACATGTACATATATGTATATTTGCTTAAATCTTTACAAATTTTTCTACCTTGTAAATGAACGAAGTTCATATTTTCATGAGCTAAAAGAATTTCTTTATATCTTACTAAAAAGTTATATAATTTTTCAGCCTCCTCATTATTTATACAAACTATTATAGTTCTTACTTTAGCATATTCATCACATAATATATCTATAGTAAAATAATTTTGAATTATACAGTTCTACTTGAAGTCAATATTTTTTAGTAACTGAATTTTACCTAAAATCTTTTCATCTTTTTTCTTTGAGTTTATTATATACACCTTTGGTTGTACAGATCTAAATACTGCAGCTTCTATATAAGATGCTATGCATACATATGGGTTGTTCATTAGAACAGAGGCAATTTTTCTTAGATGTGGTGTCCAATGTGTTGCAGTTATTATAATTTGAAACACTTTATTTTTCATTTCTCTGTTCCAAATAATTTTATGTTTTTTAAATAGTTTACTTACCTAAAAAATGTTATTTGTCATATTTTTATGAATACAAAAAGGAAAAGTGATAAGTAAAGATAAAAAAAATTACAGAATTAAAATATTTATCCAAGATAACATCACCATCATCCAAAATTAAATACTGAAGATTTTGAAAATTCAATAATTTTCCATTTATATTCATAAAACGGGTCAAAAAATTTGGTGTAGAAACTAAAATCTGACATCCATTAAACATTTCAGCCTGGAAATAAAAATTGTTTTATTAATTTAAATATATTGTTATTTATTTACTTTGAAATACTTATTTAAAAAATATACTTACTACTAGTGATCTTTCTGTCTTACCATTAACTGCAGCAACAGATCTTATTGTTTTATAGCTTTGTAAAAACTCGGTACACAAGGAATTAACTTCTAACACTTTAGAAGATGAAGAACATAATATTAATGCTGATGGATTTATTCCCTGAGGAAGCTGATTCAAAATATATAACTCTTAAAAATATGCTTTAAATTATTTTTCTTTGAATAAATTTAAATATTTCACGTTAAAAAGAATAATATATGAAA